TTGTAATTTTTTTTTTTGTATAACAGTATCGATCGACAGAGCAATAAGCCGTTCTTCTCCATTCTCTAATAACTGCATGTTTAAAAATTAAAAAGTAGTTGTGCTATTTTCACAGTTTTTATTTCAATAACCTTATCATATTATATATGTATATCACTCGGACGAGTGTCTCTCTCTCTTCCTCTCTTTGCCTTCAAGAAGAAAGTAAAACTAATGTACACTACGACTATACAATTAATTAATTGATCAATAATTAGAAGTTGTTACTTTTGTGAACAAGACTGGCGAATTAGTCACGTATCACAATGGTTTTGCTTCTAGTTGACGATCGTTCTGATCAGTCGTCTTCACGAAAGCTCTTGCTTTTTACAAATGTTTACAAATCTGGATATTGTTTTTTTTTTTTTTAAATTAAAAAGTGATAGAAAAACTTCCTGCCACTACTAAATACATTACTTTAAAACGATCGTATTTTCTCTGTACAAAGTACTATATAGACGATGAAAATTAAAAGTACGAAACAGGAACGATAATAAGGGGGCTGGGCGGGCGGGTATCTAGTGGTAAATATGTGCGAGTGAAGAAGAGTGGGAATGCGAAGAAATACAAGGAAGAATCAAAGGGGGAACGAATGGGATAATTAATGAAAGAGACAACTGATGTGTTTTGTTGCGATTTTCGCGGTAGAATTTATTTTGTGTAGAGGAAAATGGCAACGATGAGACCGTAAAGACCCAATACTTCGGCGAAGATGAGGATCAGGATCATACCTACGAACAGTCTTGGCTGTTGAGCGGTTCCTCGGACACCGGCATCGCCCACGATGCCGATGGCGAAACCTGCAGCTAATCCTGAGAAACCGACAGCTAAGCCGGCTCCAAGGTGGACAAAACCTCTGAAAGTACAAAATATTTCTTTTAACACTCCATTTTTCAACATATAAAAAATACCACGCCAAAGAAAGAACACCATCCCATAGCAAACCTGAATAAGCATAAAAACAACTTCGCCTGTACATTATATAAGTTGATGCAAATATATAAACAGCAACATAACCACCACTTACGAATTAGTTTGACGATTTTGAAGTTCTGAATTGAAGCAAAATTTTAAAGGGTTTGCAATCAGCAACTAACTTTATGGAAGGTAGGAAATAAGAAATTCAAAAGCTCTTAATAAAACAACAGTTCAGCAAATTAATCGTGCGGCTAACAAGTAGAAAACGTGAATTTACATTTCAGGAGAATTATATTTTGATAAATGACTTCTGTTACAACCTTACAACTTAATAATATGAATTATTTACTACAAAAGAAAGAAATTTGCGATTTTAGGCAGGCAAATAAATTTTTAAGAATGAATTTACTGTTTATTTATACGTAACATTGAAATGAAATTGGTCATTATTTTTGTTTATTGTTGCGGGTCATCTAATGAAATAAATGAGACTCGTCCGTGTCCGAACGAATACAACATACCAACGATCGTCTGAACAATGTCTGCCCTGAATTGTGAACCGTTGCCAAAAAGTGACACACACACAAACATGCCCAGATAAATGTACTCGAACACCGTCGAAAGACCGCTATTAATCTCTATTTTTGCGTTTAGCAGTACCAGACTTTTTGAACATAATGATTAGTACATATGAGCAGTTTTACGCATTTTTTCCAGTACTTCGTATTTTAGAACAATAAACGATATCGTTATCGATTGTGTGCGATATCAGAAGTACTTACATTTTTTCGAATGAAATTGCGAAGTAATAAACGGCGAATATGATGTTTTCTAGACACAGTCATCAACCGAACTATTGTTACAGGAATTCAAAATATGGAGGTACCAAAAAGAGGAGAACAGGAAGTACATACCACGTCTTGGATCTTATAAAATGAAACAAAATAAAGACACTTCCCAGATTTCAAAATAATTTTTTTAAGATAAAGATAAAGCCCTGTAAATCAATGGAGAGCAACCCTTTAATAAGTTGTAGCAGCAAACCCCTTTTTGCTAAAAAAAGAAAAAAAAAGTAGGAGACTGACCTGTACAATGAATAAGTCGATGGCGAACTAAGACCGCTGGCTATAAGAATTGAAACGACAAGTCCGTAGATAGCGACGATACCGGCCATGACAACAGGGATGATAGACTTCATGATAAGTTCTGGCCGCATCACAGACATGGCTGCTATACCTGTGCCTGATTTCGCCGTGCCATAGGCCGCACCAAGGGCTGGAAAGAAAGAAAAAATAATCAATACTAATGCCATTTCGGGAACATTAATAAAATTTGCCAACACCACCAAATTATAATTATTTTCCGTTGATCGGAGTTCCTTTCTTTCTTTCTTTATGAAAAAAATTAAAGGGGTTTTAAACATTTTGTTTTTTACCATCCATTTGTAATAGAAAAAATATTAATGAATCCAAATTTCTTTTAAATTATTTAATAATCTAAGTACATGGAAAATACTACAAATGGCGCGGTAAACGCCATCTGTAGTTCGATGCTACATTTTAGGATTACGTATGCTCCAACAAGGTCCATTTAAATATATGGATATCTACTTGCTGAAACGAATCCCGGCGTAGCTAACCTCAACGTGATAGGCACACGTTACCATAATCGAATAAAATAATTCGAAGTGGTCTGTATTCTGTCGAAACTGCCAGACGCGGATCGCGATTTCGACCATTTTGGATCTCATCAGCGCGTCGCAGACTTCTCCGACAGAACACAGACCAACTTTTACCTACTGTCTTAACAGCGCGTTTTAGCAGTCTGCGACGCGCTGATGAGATCCAAAGAGATCGAAATCGCGATCCGCGTCTGGCAGTTTCGGCAGAATACAGAAAACTTCGAATTAATTTAATCTAAGTACATATTTACATATCATACAAAAACATCATGTTCTTCCTTTCATATTTAGAAAATGATTTTGATTGATAGAATCCTTGTCCTTTAAATTACTCGTTGCCCTGACATAAATTCCGTAAAAAATATGTATTGTAATGGGAGGCTTTCAACGTGTAATTGTGTGTCGTTACTTTCAATAGCGAAACAACTAATTATGGACAGTCAAATCCGGTCTTATCATGCAAGTTTAAGGTCACTAACTGTATGAATCAAATCAGAAAACAAAAACGTCGCGTTATTACAAAAATTATGCTTGGAAGTGGGTAGGGAATTCCCACATTCTCTTTTTCTATAAGTGTTTATCAAATCACGAAATAGACTCCTGTTAATCAAAACTTTTTAAAACCGTTGAAAATTATAAGTCTATCCTCTTCTCATGTTGAAATTGTATAGGTATGTGTCTTCTTTTAGTTTGTAATGCTGTGTTTGGTGTCAACAAATGACTAAGTACTTATAATCAAAACCGTTATAAATAAATACAATTAAAATTAAATAATAGTTGAAGTTTAAAAACTAAAAAAGCAGGATGTACAACATAAAATGTGTAATTTCTAGAAATACGTATTTCAATTTACTTAATAGCAATTTATCTATCGATTTAATGGCGAATTTATTACCGATATGGTTATCATTTATCAAAAACCACGCATCTGCACCGTAAAAATAAAACAAGTTTTATTCATTATTGTAGAAACATTGTCATGATAGAGCTATCTATACAATATAATACTTTTTAACGTTATTGCGATCAAAATAATATTAAACTATAGAATATTAGTTACATTTCCAATTAGTAATAGTCATCGTCAAGAAATAGGTAACGCATTAAGTAAAATTAATATTGTTTAACTATTTTAAGCATTAAAGAAGCAAAAATATTAGTAATTCTTAAATAACTAATCAAACTAGCTAATAGTCATACGTAAGAGAGTATAAATTAAATGTAAATAAATAATAATATTTAAGATTTTATGGATTTTTTACTACCTTCGCCAATTTATAGATCGGATAGGCAGTTTTCAATATTCTCCAAGCTTCTAACAACAGCTTCATAAAGGAAGTTGTTATAGACATTAATTTTATTGTTTTGTTAGAAATTTCGACTTTGGACTCTCCTGTTTTAGTATGATGAATAATAAGTATTTCGTTTGGGCGTTTTTCTCAATTAGAGATAAATGGCTAAATATTTTTAAACTGTAACATACATTTCAGTTTCATGATAAATTGATAAGAAAACACTGTACTTTCGTCGATATCATGTTCGTACGCATATTAACACATTGCTTCCAATTTAGTAAATAACAACATGTAATATTGGCTGACCTCATCATTCATATAATCGCATAGAATAATTGCTCTAAGCATTGTTTGCACACTGCATAACAATAGTCATATAAAAGTGGCCATATCGATTCGTACTTTTACGAAATTATTATATACCTTCAACAATTTGTCTGAGAGCGAAAAAAAAATCGAGACCAAGTACGTAACACTGAACAAAAAATTTTAATACTTCCGGTGGACTTATAAGTTAAACTGTGGGTTTTTGTTTCATTTTAAATATTTTTTCTTTTCTTTAAGTTATAATAGGTATATTTATCCTAATCATATGATAGCGANTTGCACACTGCATAACAATAGTCATATAAAAGTGGCCATATCGATTCGTACTTTTACGAAATTATTATATACCTTCAACAATTTGTCTGAGAGCGGTGGACTTATAAGTTAAACTGTGGGTTTTTGTTTCATTTTAAATATTTTTTCTTTTCTTTAAGTTATAATAGGTATATTTATCCTAATCATATGATAGCGAGTTTCTGCAGTTTGTCCGCTCCTGCTTCCGCAAGTCCCAAATTATAGAGAATTCACCGACGCGAACGTTAGTCATCAAAGTCAGACGAAAGATGCATAAAAGACGAAAGTATTAAAAAAAGGTTAAAAAGACGTAAAAGACAGAAGACGGTGAAATCAATGAAGTGTATATTGATGTGCTGTTTGTGACCATTAAAATAAGTGTATCAAGATAACTGTGCGATACTGGACAACTCTTATTGTACACACCATTATCGTTTTTATCATTAATATTTTATTAATTAAACACATTATAAAAAAGCGGAAATGGATTCGTTTTTATTAACCCTAGACAAACTAAAGGAAAAGCCTACAAAACTATTTGAAGCAACTTTAATATATTCTTCTCTTGGAACAGAACATTTGTAGTATTTGAACATTTTTTATTTTAACACTAAATATGAAAAAAAGAAAGTTTACCATTGTTTAAAAAAAAGGGATCTACAAAAATGTCCTCCAAGGAAATTTTTTTTGGTCCTAAGTTTGGATAACACATTGTTGAAATATAAAAACAAACCAATTTTTTTGGATATCTTTTACTACTTAATTTATGTTTTGGAGGACTTGACACGCAAGACCAAGATCAATACCAAGACTTAACTTTTCCACAGCTTTTCTTCGTTATTTTTTAAAGCTTTAAGAGGTTGCAGAGGGTTGTATGAATTTCTTATTAATCCCAAAACATATACACAGTATTTCTCAACAGCGTACCCAACCAAACTCATACATCCTAGGGCAACACCTTGTAATTTAATTTTAAAATCTACGTGTTCATCTATTAAGTAAATCGAATGTCTAGTACATTAATTGCTTGAAAAACCCACAGCATTTTATTAGTTTTTAAGACCAGCAAAAGCAGCAATTAAAATGACTAATTATTGCAATACTGATCTGCACTCTAATCAAGAAAGAGATCGATATAGGATAACCGTTTAGAAAAACATGACGCTGACCAAGCAACAGTGTATGTATACAACAAAACCATCTGGAACACGATTTTCTTAGAAACACGTGTTTAGAATTCACGTAAACTCCGTTTTAACCAATTCTGCCGGCCTGAACTGCCTTTTTATAATTAGAATCCAAACTGACTAAAATACCTAAACCTTCGCTAAAAAAAATGACATCAGTCGCTTCAAAACTGCGTCTTCCTTAATCAAGAACGAAAACAACGAAGTCAACGTTATGTTCTTGTAAAAATACAAGTTCCGTTTCAGTTTTATTGAAATAAAATGAGAGAAAATTTAAATTAATTACTTTCGTATGTTAGCATGAATGCTCGTCAATCTTTCAGTAAGCTGTGAACAAAACTGTCGCAGATTGCACTTTTCGGTGTAAAAACGGCAAAGGATGCGTGCATCAATGCCGTAAAGGCGATCGATTTAACATTTTGACGTCTACGGTTTTGTAAGATCTTTGAAATGGCGTAAGGAACTCCTGCAGGGATATAATCTGTCGCTAAAAAGTGGAACTTATACCTATTTTGCTGCTGGTATACCCTTCTGCTATTCAGCGAAAAACGACTAGAAAACCGTCAAGCTTGCACTACACATAGAGCATCTCGAAATTGAAATGGCGTAAAGAACTCCTGTAGGGATATAATCTGTCGCAGAAAAGTGGAACTTATACCTATTTTGCTGCCGATCTACCCTTCTGCTGTCCAGCGAAAAATGACTAGAGAACCGCCAAAACTACACTACACATAGAGCATTTCGAAATTGAAATGGCGTAAAGAACTCCTGCAGGGATATAACCTGTCGCAGAAAAGTGGAACTTATACCTATTTTGATGCTGGTATACCCTTCTGCTGTCCAGCGAAAAAGGACTAGACAACCGTCAAACTTGCACTACACATAGACCATCTCGAAATTGAAATGGCGTTAAGAACTCCTGCAGGGATATAACCTGTCGCAGAAAAGTGGAACTTATACCTATTTTGATGCTGGTATACCCTTCTGCTGTCCAGCGAAAAAGGACTAGAAAACCGTCAAACTTGCACTACACATAGACCATCTCGAAATTGAAATGGCGTAAAGAACTCCTGTAGGGATATAATCTGTCGCAGAAAAGTGGAACTTATACCTATTTTGCTGCTGGTATACCCTTCTGCTGTCCAGCGAAAAAGGACTACAGAACCGCCAAGCTTGCAGTACACATACAGCAACTCGAAATTGAAATGGCGTAAAGAAATCCTGCAGGCATATAAACTGTTGCTGAAGAGTGGAACTTATACCAACTTTGCTGCTGGTATACACTTCTACTGTCCAGCCAGAAAGGACTACAGAACTGCCAAGCATGTACTACACATACAGCATCTTGAAATTATAATAGCGTAAGGAACTCCTGCAGGGATATAATCTGTCGCAGAAAAGTGGAACTTATACCTATTTTGCTGCTGGTATACCCTTCTGCTGTCCAGCAAAAAAGGACTACAGAACCGCCAAGCTTGCAGTACACATACAGCAACTCGAAATTGAAATGGCGTAAAGAAATCCTGCAAGCATATAAACTGTCGCTGAAGAGTGGAACTTATACCAACTTTGCTGCTGGTATACCCTTCTACTGTCCAGCCAGAAAGGACTACAGAACTGCCAAGCATGTACTACACATACAGCATCTTGAAATTATAATAGCGTAAGGAACTCCTGCAGGAATATAATCTGTCGCAGGAAAGTGGAACTTATACCTATTTTGCTGCTGGTACACCCTTCTGCTATCCAGCGAAAAATGACTAGAGAACAGTCAAGCTTGCACTACACATAGAGCATCTCGAAATTGAAATGACGTAAGGAACTCCTGCAGGGGTATAATCTGCCACAGAAATGTGGAACTTATACCTATTTTGCTGCTGGTCTAGCCTTTCGCTGTCCAGCGAAATAGGACTACAGAACCGCCAAGCCTGCACTACACATAGAGCATCTCGAAATTATAATGGCGTAAGGAACTACTGCAGGAACATAATCTGTCGTTGAAAAGTGGAACTTATACCTATTTTGCTGTTGGTATACCCTTTTGCTATCTAGCGAAAAATGACTAGAGAACAGTCAAGCTTGCACTACACATACAGCATCTCAAAATTGAAACGACATAAGGAATTCCCGCAGGGATATAATCTGTTGCTGAAAAGTATAACTTATACCTATTTTGCTGCCAATCTACCCTTCTGTATTCAGCGAAAAAGGACTACAGAACCGCCAAAACTCACTACAGATAGAGTATCTGGAAATTGAAATGGCGTAAGGCACTCCTGCAGGCATATAATCTGTCGCAGAAAAATTAGAAGTTATACCTGTTTTGATGCTTGTCTGACCTTCTGCTATTCAGCGAAAAAAGACTAGAGAATTACCAAACTTACACATTTTACTGCTTGTCTATTATTCAGCGGTCCAAGGAAAAACTAGAGAGCCGCGAAGCTGATACATAACGTATCTCCAAATAGAAACGGAGTAGAGAAATGCTACAAGGATCATAATTTGTCGCTAAAGGATAGTACTTTTTACATATTTTGCTGATGGTTTATTCTTTCGCTTTCCAGCGAAAAACTAGAGAACCGCCAAGCAGATATAACACATAACGTATCTCCAAATAGAAACACAGTAGAAAAATGCTACAAGGGCTACAATTTGTCCCTGAAAAATGGTACTTTTTATCCATTTTGCTGCTAATCCATCCTTTACCTCTCCAGCGATAAACAAGAGAACCGCCAAGCTAACATTATTACACAATGAAGTAGAGAAAAACTGCAAGGACTATAATTTGTAGCTTAAATATGGTACTTTTATCTATTTTATTGCTGTCTGGATAAGCGAATATTGCAAATAATATTTTATACGGAATGCATCATAATTAAATTATCTAATGAAACGTAATTTCTTTGTTGTTAGTTTTGGCAAGAAATTTGTATTTACAAAAAATATATGCCGAGTTAGAACTCCACACAATGATAAATGAGTAAAGGGTGCAAATAGAGGAATTGCAGCAGCGATTATTTAATACAAAAAGTTAATTAATCATTTAATTGAATTAATATTCCCTTGTTGATATTATATATTTATTGCATTGAAATTGTTTCTCCACTTTGTTGTTTCTTCAGAAGTTATAGAATTGCATTATAATTTACTTTATTACTATTGCATTAAATTTTCCAATCCACCACAAATAAAAAAAAATACACTACTAATCGTAAGTATATTTATGCTGCATGATATTAACAACAATTTACTAATTAAGCACGTGTATTTACTATATATATTATCGTATTTACTCGATTTCAATGAAAAGTTCGAGATTGAACAAAAAATTTAAAGGAACATTTTTTGGCAGTTTATTCATAAAATCATTTCCCAAATTAGGTAATATTCTCTTTTAGTTTCATTGACATACTTCGTGGACGAATGAATTAAAGTAACTTTTTGAAACAATTTATTTTCTTCAAGTGAAGAAATAGAAACTGATAATCATTTAAACACAATTATGAAAACTATCTATAATGAATTTGAAGGCAGTATTATATACAGAGATAATGGTACACCCATCCAAATCACATGATAAGCGACACTCACATGCTCCTTTAATTAAATTTAAAGAAATTAAATATATAAGCAAAAAGTAAAAGTAATTCCGTTCGTCACAATAAAATTTACTGTGTAAAAATTTTAATAAGCAAGTGCATCTACTTACCTATAAAAGATTAACATAAGTCATGTGTTTTGACTTTATTAAAAGTTACATACACAGGAAATTTTCTATTTGCAAACATTTTTTGTTAAAAATGAAAATGCAACGGATACTTATGGAAAAGTTTTGAAAATTTTTACACAAATACCTACATTAATAATAATAATTTATTAAAATCATTGATTACATGATCAAGTAAACGTAACCTTGATGTCACATGTTTTGGTAAATACACCGGTAACACCCTGTTTAATAGCGAAACAACTAATTNAACACCCTGTTTTTTTAAACAATTTAATTAAATATTAAAAAAAGTTCCTGCATAAAAAAATTATTTAAAACCAGGTGATTTGTTATTTTAAAGGGGATAACAACGACAATAACAATATAATGTATTTGTTTCTGTTATTGTTCGAAAGATGATTATTATGAAAAAAAAAATAAGAAACCAAGAACATTTATTAAGGATTAAGGATTTTAGCAAAGGGTTAAACCATAATTTTCAGTAGTAACTCATTGAAAGTGTTCATGTATATAACAATGTTTTTATAGCAATTATCAGAATAATACTGTGATTTTTATAAAAAAACATCAATGACAACATTATTTTGCCTTTACAAAACCACTCTTACTTTAAAATTTTTAATTATTAAGGCTAAAAACACTAATTTTCTTAGTGGGGTGGGTCTAAGTTAAAAGCACGTGACCATGCTATTATAACTTAAAGTAGGTCATTTAACAACTTCAAAAGCAAAATTGTGTGTATGACCTAGGTTTTCTCGGAAAAATTGGTTAATATTAAAGCTAAAATTAAGTACATTAATGATTTCATGACTTTGTGGTTAGTAGAAAACTGGCGATACGCCCATGACAGCAAATGAACACTGTTTGAGCCAAAATTGTACAAAGAATTTATCGTTTTGAGACAAAGAAACGTAAAAATTCTTATAATAGGAACCCAACGCAACTATTTTAGTATGATTTCTTGAAATATTAAGAAAACTTTGGGGTCATTTGACTAATCGATACTGCTAGCGGTAAAACATATTACAACCAAAATTTTACTCACAACTAAAAATAACAGCTGCAGCAGCTCCCATAACTCCAAAGAAGGGTCCGTAGACAGGATATTCTTCTGATAACGGCATTTTTTAATATTTTCAGAGTATTTACAGGCCCGAGCTAGCCAGAAAAACAGACAACGTTCAGCGGAACCAACAAACCACTGACAAATATGGCTTACAGTGCGAGTAAGTAGTGTGTTGGTCATATGACGATAGAAAATTTGAGATGGAGTGAGGTAGCTTCGAGCTACGCTATTGGTTACTGTTGTGGTGGGAATTACAAATAAACCATTCCCTGAATTTTAAAGAGTGACGTTTTCCTCTACTCTTTTCTTATGTCGTCAGGAAACATATGATTTTATATTAATGATGAAAATTCCAAAAGTTTTGAGTTAAATAAACCTTTTTAGAATTTAAAAGGTGTAACCTGTATTAAAATGTTACATTAAAGTACTCATTTAAATGTTTCAATCATAATTTGAGTCACATGATTTTTCTCAACATCCGCTGTTACGTCTAAATCACGAAAAAGCGCTAAATTTGATTTTAAACAATATTCAATAAAACTTGAATATGAAAAGTAAAAACAATACAAGAACAACTAGAAAATTAGTAGGCATAAGAATAATCTTCATCATTAGGCTATTTAGTTGATAGCCACTTCATTGTATTTGTCCTCAATAAAGAAAGGTTTTTAACAGTTAATTTGAAAAAGTGACTAAAAGTCTAACCAGGATATATAAATTAAAATAAATCTATTAAAAGTGCATTTCTCTACTGTTACATACAATTATATAAAGAAATATATCATATGACATTATTTTTCATAATTTCTGGAAGCGCATATGCAACCGTAACTACACTGCTTCCATCATGTCTGCATACCTTCTATTAAAGGCTTTTTTTATTTTAATTAGTTGTACATATATTTAAAAGTACCTAAACATTTAAACTATACTGCCAACTTAATTTAAAATTTTCGTTGGCTTTACGATTTCTATAATAAAAACTCAATTAACTCTGCTGCATGATTTGGTAATTATTTAAAAGACATCCCCCTATCAATTTGGTTATCCATTATAAGAAAAATAATAATTGAAATATGAAACTTTAGAATAAATGCCTAATTATATGTATTAACATAATTATAAACTTTATTTTAAGATATATAAGCAACACATCATCCACCACAATCAATCGACGAGATGTTGTAATTCCCTCTCTTTAACACCCCTTGCAACTAGAAGTCGTTTGGGGGTGAGGAATGTTTTTTAGATAATTATCCAGCATTTCCTCGGTGAATTGTGGTGTGTAATGTGTTGTTTATTAGTAATTATTTAAATAAAGTTTATAAGAATGTTAATATATATAATAAGAAATATAATATGTACTGAATATTCATTTTTCAACCTGTATATATTTGTAATAAGGGATGATCGACGACTGAAATAATGTTGTCCTGCTTAATAGATCTCGCGTTGACAACCCTAAGTCGGTAGGGAATGGGAAATGTTTTTTAGATAATTTTCCTTAATTTTTTCAGGGAAACATATCATTTTTTTTTGATAAACTTTTGTAGTTTTACTTTTTATGTATTTAAATGTATAAAACTGAGGAATTGTATTTTTAATTCGAATTAGAATAAATCATACACATATGCCTCCCTCAGGCAATTAATTAATTACGAAATATAGACAAAAATCATTTATTTTATGTAGGAAAATGATTGTTAGTTTGCCAAAAGGTGTAGTTCTTACCGTTTATAAAAAACCCACATCAACAATTTTTAATTTTAAAAAAGAAACGCAGTCGGAACCATAAGCTGAATAATATTGCCGTAAATATTAACTATGTTGTGATTAATCGCTGTAATTAAAGTTTCTGAAAGTTCAATGACCACTATTACAAGTTACATTAAGTTGAAGCATCTTCAAAATTTCGTGGAATCGCCACATATATGTGACTTTTTTTCAGAAAACTTTCTTAATAACGGGATTCCTGTTACTAACACGCGGACGTTGTCTAAAACAGGATCATTTTCTTTTAACCAGATAAAACTATTGTAACTTGATACCAGAGATCTAATTTATTTCAAATACTTGCATTTAAAATGCAAATATAAAATACGAAATACTTTTTTTTTATCTTGTATTTGAATACTTTTTCGTAAAAAAGGGACAAAAAGACATTCCATGAATGCCTTTTAATTCTTTAACTGAAGAGAGCCCAAAAAATTCTAAACTCCTTGGAAATTGACAATCTAAAATATTGGATCGATATTGTTTTCCGGGTTCAATGTCATGGTCCACGGAATTTTGAAGTTCCAAATTGATATCAGCACCTGCTAAATCACCACCTATCATACCTTTAGCAAGAAACTACGAAATTCTATGAATTACGACAATATAATACATTGTGGTGTGCTAATAAGGGCGTATAATCCAAAATTCTTAGAAAACGATTCCAAAAACTTCACTTATTAGATGAACCCAAAGCTAAAGAAACTATGGATTCCATTTCTTTCTCTTATTACAATGTGTAAAAGATCGGAAACAAAATGCGGTTGGAAATAAAATGATTTCGATGTTTTGTTTTTACACCAATAAAATTATTTGCAACCCCTATTTTGGCTTTGATGATCATGATGATGAAGTGAATGTAGAAAATTAAATAGGTACTACAAAAAAGTATTTATTTTTAAAATACATATTTTACATTTAGCATTTAATATACAAAAGAGAAATCTATTTTGTATTTTACATTTGAAAAAACAAATCAAAAAAGTATTTGCATTTTATATTTAAATACTTTTAAAAAACTATTTTGCACATTTCTGCTTGGTACCTTTATTTGGAGAACAGTGGCATTTTTGGATAATATCTAACAAACACATGTATTTATTTGTCTCTATAAATAAAAAAAAACACTTTTTTATCTCATTAATCATATCTCATAAATTAAAAGAAAATTTCAGATGTAATTACTGTATTGTACGTAATAGTAATCAAATAGTAGGTAATTATCCTTCTTAATAAGAGAAGTAATGGTACAGTCCCATTACTTCGTTACCAATCTATCCTTCAAGCATCCTGTCACGGTGTCACGTTGGAGATTTGACCTTTTACAACCGACGTAATTTTGTTTTCATTCCTCTACACTATACCCACTTATTACGAGTAATAAAGTCACTAACATCGCGAAAAATGAAGAAATTATAGTCACCTTACCTAATCCCTGCAATATGTACTGTAGTGTTTAAAATTATTATTGCTTTGCTATTGTTAATTATCCGTAACTTTTGACTTCTCTATATAACATAAAATCGGCTAAATGCGAATTCTCCCATTAAACGCAACATGAAAAGTGTATTTGTAACAGTATTTTGTGCTTTTCCATGAGCACTAGTCTTAGTACGACTTTCGGCATAGTTTGCCCTTGTTAAGACTTCTGGAAACTCTTTCTCTTTCACAATTGTAATTTCAGTAGCTTTAGAAAGAGAAAGGAAAAGATGTTTTTGAAAATCAAATAATTTTGGATTTATAATGACGGGTTGTTTCCAATAATATACCATCATAGCCACAAAGTCGGCAGTTCGTCCACCTCTGCTCCATGGTGCCCTCAAGACACTTCGCATTTCTCATAAACTATAAAGCATTTGCGAAGAGGAATCTAATCCTGATCTCCTCTGTCCTTCCTTTCTCCTGTTTCTTTTTTTTTGCCTTTTCCTTCGTACCTACCGTTTAACTTCCGCATCCGCAATGACCCGCCATGTTTCAAACTTATACGCATCTTAATCAGTCATTATTACCCACTTATTCATCGCACATCAAATTTTTTGATCCATTTTGAGATAAACAACCCTCATTTCGTTAAAGATTCTATAGAATGTAGAAATTTTCTAGATTAACTACAAAATTCATTCGCGTTTCAATGCCGTGATCAATTCTCTAATTCCTTCCCGGCGTATTTGTCTGTGAAAGATGCAACCAGCAACGAAGAAAGGTTGAATAGTATATCCTAGTTCGACATTAACAATAATTCACCTGCATGGCCTAACAAGAATAAAAAAATTATTGGTTTAACCATTTACCACTGACGAGAGCTCAGAGAAAGTCCCTTTCTCCATTAAATGAAGCGCCGTGTGTGATGCTTTATCCAAGCAAAAATCTTCAGGAAGAGAGAAAATACAATCAATAACATGGACTTTCGATGTAATTACCTGCTGGTACGACAGGAGTCTTTGAAAGGATGTTGTATTTCTGAATTCATTTAAGTAAGAGACTTACATTCGAAACATGTTAGAAAAATGTAATTTAATGAATCGGTTCAAAAGGGGTTATTATTTCTATTATAAATTGGTGGTGCTTATAAGTATCCTAATACATTAATTAAACCCATTCCAATAATATTATAAACTGAAATAGTTGTCTGTAGATGCCATCAACACCAATAAAAAGATTAAGAAATTCTTTTCGATTAAGAGATTGAGACAGTAGTTTATTTTTCAATGTTTTTCGTAATTTTAATGAAGAAATTTAACGGTTCAAAAATGCATCCATGCTTTAATTAGGAGTTAATTCTCCATCAATCTTACAAAATTTTAAAACAGCGTTATACATAAATGCACAACGTAAATTTTTAATTAAGAATTAAACGCTATAAACATTTCGGCTGAATTCCTAATCATACCGAAAAAGACAAGAAAATATAAATATTTCTCATTAAACAATAACTTTCATGGAAGATCCTATAAATAACAACTACAAGATTACTTTCAGTAAATTTGATATTAAAAAGCAGTTGGATGAAATTATTGTTATAAACGATTACGTTTTTCCTTCTTTAACCTAAGTCATAATTTTTTCTCCGTTTAGGGTTTACTGACTTCTTTCTAAAGAGTTTTTCTATTGTATTGATTCATATATTACTAATTTATAACAAATCATAAAATGCATGTGCCTGCTAATAGCAAAAACATTCTTTATTATGTTCTTGTACTTAATTAAACTCAAACGCCTTGTAGTGAAAAGTTAAGTAGCTTTTTCCAAAACAAAAAAGCAGTAAGTTTGTAAAGTTCGTATATATGTGATATATATCTACACTCTACAGCCATATACGTATAATTTTCGTAAAACAAGATTGCGTAATGACAAAAAGTAAAAAAGTGAAACCAAAGTTGTGAAATCGAGAATTGAAATTTT